CTCTCATTCACATAATGCTTGATGTTGATGGTTTTGTGCAACATCTTTCTCATCATGAAGATGAATGTCTCTGCTGGGTTGACTAGCCCAGACATCACCCTCTTGAACTGGTAGCATCCATCAGGTGTCACAAAGATTGTCTTCTCTTTAGATTCTGTCTCCATTAGGATTTGCCAGTAACCTTTACTGAGGTCGATCTTGGTAAAGAATTTGGCCCCATCTAGTTTTGCCATGATAGCCTCTGGAATGCCCATAGGTTTAGAGTTGACCTTCATCACAAGGATCAGCTTCCAGAAATCTATGAACAAGTGATTTGAGCAGTCCCTCTTCTTCATGATTACCACTGCTGAATAGGCTGAATTTGGAGGCTCAATGATTCTGGCTTTTAACATTACCACGACTTCTTACTTGATCAGGTCTTCCATTGCATAGATCATCTGGTAAGGCTTCACCATGACTGGATCCCTGGTCATAGTCTTGTGTTGCACAAAGTATGTCTTGCCTGGCTTATCTATGAAAACATCTACATACTGGTACAGTAGATTTTGTACCTCTTTCTTCTGCTTGCTAGTCAGTTCTTCACTGATTTTGATATAATTGTATGTCTCATCTCCACTCAGTGGCCTTAAGTTTACTAGGTCTTCATCTTCTATGACAGAATCAACATCTTTTGGTTTTACATCTGCAATGTCTATCTGTGTCACAGTAGCTGCACCTGTTAGGTCTTCATCCTTCTCAAAGTACATCTTCAATATATTGACATGGTAAATCTTGATCTTATCATCTAATTTCACATTATAGTATATCTATTCTTTTCCCTGCAGAGTGAGTTTGTTGTTGGCTGTGGGTAGCAGAACCACGACTTTCTATCCAACCTTAAAATGTTGATCTTTGGTCTGCTTGTCATAGAAGTGCTTCTGACTACCTTGAACTGCATACAGACTTTCTCGAGTGAGTCAACAGGTCTTCTCCAGTCAGTTTCTGAGGTCTAACATGTACTGGTGTGTGTTACTCACTTCTGACTCTTCTTCTCCTGTTCACAGTTCTTTCAATATCTGCATCAGACCTCGTACTGTTCTTCCATACAGTAACTCAAAGGGTGAAAATCCTGTACTCGCTTATGAAACTTTTCGGTAAGCAAATAATACTGTCTGCAGGTACCTGTTCCAGTCACATGGGCTCTCCTGGCACATTTGCTTCAGCATGCTTTTTAGGACTCCATTGACTCTCTCACAAAGTTCATTACATTTGGGATTTTATGGTGTGGTAGGGAGCTACTAGTGCTGATGAGTCTGCATGCATCTTGCATCAGTTCTAAGGTAAGCTGGGTCACTCAGTCACTCAAGTCTTCTTTTAGAAAACCTACTATGAAGAAAACTTCCAAGAATGTTTCTGCTTCTCTTTCTATCTCTGTCTTTGGCTTCTGGGCAATGTATTACAGTTGACTACTGTTAGCATGTACTAGTTGTTCTTGTCAGTTCCATGTGCTAGTGGTCCAATTAATTTCACTCTGCTCAGTGGCTCTTCTATGAGAGGCATCTCACCCAGTGGTACCTTGGCTACATTCCTTCTATGTACTGTCCTTTGGCAGATGTTACATGACCTCTATAATCTAGTCACATTTCTAATGACCCACAGACAATTGAAGATGCTGGTGATTCTGTTTGCCATTCTGTCTTTGTTCCTAGGTGTCCTCCCACAGTTGACTTGTGAGCCAACTTCATCACTTAAGTCATGTTATTTTGCTGGTACTATGGTCTGTTTAACTTCCCCAGTACAACTGCCTTGAAAAATCTTGTACAGCACTCCTTTATGATCCTCTATTCTGTAAGTCCCTTCCCCTTTTCTTGTGTTTGACTTTCTCTTGCACACTATCCCAAAGTTTATATAGTGAAAGGTCTTTCTTCAGTTACCATATAGCTGCATTCTGGATGTCACCTTTAGATTAGTGCCTTCATACACATGGCTTTTAGGTCTCCCACGTAGTATGGAGTGTCTATCTTTATTTTTACTATGGGGAACTTTCTCACTGTCCCATCAATCACCACACACAGATTTACCTTGCCCATCATCTGGTCATCAGATATTAGAATGGTTCTCACTGCTTCACTCAGTGTCTCATACGACTTTTATTTTCTTGTTCCCAACATAACCTTGATCTTGTGAACTACACAATAAACGTACTTGTAAACCCAACATTGATTGTGTTCAAATTATAAATCAAATCAAGTATATTGTTAATCTATATACTACTAAAACTCTGAGATTGTTTGTTTATGAAATATCTTCTATACAACAATATATGTACAATAGAAATTAAATGATGAGATGAAAACGTATTATAATAGGGCATAGAAAGAACAACAACAAAATGGTCCTACAATATTATTGTCTATTTGCAACTAGTAATTATGGAGACGAGGTAATAAAATTCAAGTCGAGAATAACAACAAAATTTTCCCCATCTTCATTAAAAGGCGTTAGCTGACAAAAACAAAATCTCGAAGAATCTATCTATATACAACTAAAACTTTGAGATTGTTTGTTTGTTTTGAATTTCGCGCAAAGCTATACGAGGGTTATCTGCGCTAGCCGTCTCTAATTTAACAGTGTAAGACTAGAGGGAAGGCAGCTAGTCATCACCACCCACCGCCAACTCTTGGGCTACTCTTTTACCAACGAATAGTGGGATTGACCGTCACATTATAACGCCCCCAGTGCCGAAAGGGCGAGCATGTTTGGTTGGACGGGGATTCGAACCCGCGACCCTCAGGTTGCGATTCTAGCGCCCTAACCACCTGTCTATGCCGGGCCTGAGATTGTTTGTTTGCTTATTTTCTCAGTCAAAAATCATTCACACTACCGTTCGCGCTCTTTACGAAACTTCTTACTTAACTTTTTAAAGAATGGTCTTACCTTTTATTCCCGATCAACAATCCAATATATTTTCTTGAATTATGAATAAAACGAATGGATTGAAAATTTAATTGAATTATTTCAAAATAAACCTTCATTTCGGTGCAATATTGAAATTAGCTTGAATCCTTCACAACCTCTGAATAGTGAAAATTGTATGAAAATTTCTAGCATGAGTAATTTTACAATCACACTACCGTTCGCGCTCTTTACGAAACTTTTTCGTTCAAATCTATTTCCCTGTTAATGTTCCCATCTTC